TTGGATTTATAAGGTCCTAACCATGGCCTATCGTTTCAGAATATCAAATCGAAAATCTAAATTTTGAGTGGTACCGGCTCCACATAAAATTGATAGGTCCTCTCGCGGACCCTCTCTTAAGTATTTATGACGAACTTCATAGAGAAGACTTAGATAAAAATTCAAACAATAATTTGAAAGAAAAATCTGAAATTCTTCATTTATCGTTCTGTTAGATATATATATTTGTATAATCGTCAAGGACAAATGAAAAGTAAAGAAAGAAAAAAAAATGAAAAATAACATGATTCAATGGGAAAGATACGAAGAGAATGAATGATCTTTACTGATCCTAATAATAGATATGTTTAAAAAATTTCTACTGAGAACTTATGAGTACGTCTCCTAGAGGAATAGTATTTTTAACTCGGCTTTGCATGCTCCTTTGAATAATGTAATTTTTTTTTGTTAGATTCTTCAAGAACAAAAGAGGACGCATTTGTTTGTGAATATTGAATGAGTAGCTTCAGATATGTATGAAAGTGACACTGCCGATTGCATTTGATCAATATTATGTTCTTTTTTCAACAGGAACCAATAGCGAATAGCATCTTAGTATTTTTGTAGATTTCAGGCGGAATTCGCGCAAAATCAAAAAGGTCATTATTGAGATAGTGAATATACTAGCGAATGTTCAAATAGGGACACAAAAGAAAAAAAAATGATCATAATATTTGTATAAAATAAATCCTATTATAACTTGAATGTCACTGCTTATTGATCCGAAGAAAGCTGTTTCGATTCACAAATCATGTCTTGTTGCGAAATATGCATATTGACGATATATCGCTTTACTGTCTTCACTACAATAGCGACTAAACAAAGCAGTATTAGTACAGTATTAGATATATATAATTTTAAAAACAAATCTACGAGTAAGTTTATGTTTTTCAAAAATGTGTTCTTTCGCATGTATAACTTAAATTCATTCAAGTTAATATCGATTCATCTGAATTCATTTACTCGGCATTGAAGCACATTTCTTTAGTTTCCAATGCAATCAACCAAACTGATCAAGTGTAATTTAAATTCATTCATACCGGATTCGAATAGATTTTACTTGATTCTTCTGAGTTTTATTCTGAAAAAGCCTAAGAAAGATGTCCTTGTTTGCACATTAATTATTTATGTAAGGGCAATCGTTCTGCTAGGAAAGGTAGCAAAAAAAAATCAATGGGAATGTTACACGTATGGATAAACAATATATATTATATAAACAGGATATCTGATCCTTAGGTAGGAGCTATCACAGGAAATTTTAGCTACCTTTTGACACTTCTTACTTCAATGAGAACTATGAATTTGAATAAACTAATTATAAAAATCGTATTTTTTAGTACATTAAATAAAGCAGTTAACAATAATTCACCACAATGACTTCGCATAGGTAGGAAGTTATATATATACTTGCATGAAATATTTTTGCTTTTCTTTTATTCAAGTTCTTCAATATACTGTACAACTTGTGGACAAATGATTTCTACTGAAAAAGATTCTTATTATAAATGTCGTGAATGTAAATTACATTATGTATGTAAACAATGTTCAAATGTACAACAAATACATAACTTCAAGAAAATTAAAAAAGAACAGAAACAAATAGAAGATTTAGGCGTGAAATTAGCTGAAACTAATTTGGCAGCGGCACCGGTAAGACTTAATCTTTACTATGATAAGTCTTTGTTATACGACTCTCACTATTTTGAATAATCTACTGGATAAATTATTCATATTTTTCGTATCAGATGTATGCGTTAATTTAGTAATTCTCGAGGTTTTACCTTTGATTTTATAAATTACTAATTCTGACTTCTATATTTTCTTCAGAAACAATTTGATAGGTTTTCTACAATCTTTAAAATTTTCCCATTCCTAAAGAAAAATAAACATTTGAAAAAATTCGAATCCTTTAATACAAGATCTACTCAAAGAAAAATACATAATTGGAAATATAGAGTTAACATGAAATGTACATTGTTTCGCTAGACTGTTTTCTTTTTTATATTTTATTATTTCCTTTTCTTAGAAAAATCCGAGTTGTTAACATGAATTAAATTCATTCAAAATTTCACACAGGAAAATATATTTATATCTAAATATTTCTGAAAGATGTTAGATATTTAATTCAGTTATCTTATTTTAAAAAAGTTTAGAATTTATTGTTTCTTTAAAAATGTTCAAAATGCAAATTCTCTATACGGAGTTAACGAAATAAGATATTTAACAGAAATTTTTTTTTCTTTTCAAAAGACAACGTCAATTTTTGAATCATATAAGTTTCTTACCGAACCAACGGGTTATTGTGAACATTGTTTAAATCTACTATATCCAAATAAAGATCGATATTATTCATGTCAACAATGTCCAAATGGTTTTGATGTTTGTACGAAATGTATAAATTTGATGAAAACTGAACATGCACCACAACATACATTTAAAAAAGATAATTATTCATTGGATGAACATATGATAATACATTATAATACATTATGTGATGGTTGTAAAGCAGAAAATTTTAAAGGTATTCGATATCATTGTGATGAATGTCGTGAAAGTTATAATTTATGTGAATCATGTTATCAAAATGCAAATAAATTACATCCTAATCATAAATTCACAATTGTTCAAGCTCCATTATTACGAATTAATAATTATATGTTATTGGCTGCACGTGCAACAAAAGTACTTGAAAAATTTCCAGATCTACAATATGATCCTGTAACTGGTTATTCATTGATAGATGCACAACAAGTAAAAGCTCAAGAAGAAAAAAATTCAGATCAGTTTTGGCAACAACGTTTACAAGAAGCAAAACGTGCTCAAGAACTTCAGAGACAAATAAACAAAATACAACTACAGAGTGCACAGAATATACGAGCCATAATAGATCCAAATTATCATATAATGGAAATGAGAAACAATGATGATTATTAGTCTTTTTTTTACTGCTTACATTTGACTTTAAATAATTCTGCGTTCTACTCAAGAAAATTGTGAAAATTTAAACAAAATAGAATATAAATGAAACAGCTTTCTTACCGTTTGACAAATAATTAGTGCTTTACTTTGGTTGTAGGATGCACAACGAAATCATATAAGATGATTCAAGCTTTTCAAAACCATTTCATCTTAGAGCTATATGCAATGAATATCTATTCTTTTAAGGATAATTTCCTCTCTATTGTGAAACACGATCTAAAAGGAATGTTGAAGTGTATAGAGTAGAAATTTTGGACCCCCTCCCATAGTCCGTAACAGAAACTGTAGATGCGAATTTATATACTCTGAAATGTTTTCTTTCGAATTCAAACCATCTTGGAAATGGATTATGTGTTTTAGAAGAATCGTTCTCAATCAAATCGTTTGGACTCTGGATATTTCTATCTCTTTTCTTGTTAAATTGTTCAACTAATAGTCAAATGCGTACGGAAAACAGAAATATCTAATTGTTAGACACATCAGATATTATTTTGGGTGAGATCTTTTACTTCTTCTACATTTAAACATATATTACTTTAACAATTTTTTAATACTTTGTACAAAATTTTTCCTATTTGAAAAACAAGATAAAACAAACTAACGAATACTCACTGAAAATAATTTCTTTTCTGTAAGAAGAAATCAGTTGTTATATTTGTATTTCTAAAGGAGATTGTATGCTTCATGGAACCAATATTAAACGATATAACGATCAAAACATAATATTGTTATATTCTGATTTGTTTATATGCTGTCTAGAAATCTGAAAACTGATTACATCGCAGAGATGGGACTGGTCCGGTTTTTTGACCGAACCGGACCGACCGACCGTAACCGAAGTCGGTCGGATTGGACGTTTTAAAAAACTCGGTCGGTTACGATCGGTTAAAATAAAAAATTGTTCGGATCGGTTCGATTCGGTTTGAATCTTCTAAAAATTTCGGTCGGCTACGATCGGTCAACATGAAAAATTTTTCGGTTCAGATCGATTTAGTTGAAAAATATTAGACAAAAATTCTTTTTCATTTTAACGCCTCGTTTGCTGAAACACAGAAATAGGAAAATCAGAATCCTCTATTCTTCTGGAAAAAGATGAATGTGTCGTATCCTCTTCTTTCAAAAATAGCTGCTCGTGTTTTTGCTGTACTGGCTTGAAGTGCTAGTGTTGAAAGAGAATTCAGTCTTTCCGGTAATATCATTACACAAAAACGCTCAAAATTACCTCCAGATATCGTCAACGATATGGTTTTTAATCGATCATACAATTTATATAAAAAGGTATTTGATCAAACTGGGTGTGGGTGGGGTGTGGGTGTGAGTGTGGGTGTGGGTGTGTGGGTGTGGGTGTGGGTGTGGGTGTCGATATGGGTGTGGGCGTGACTGTGGCTATAAGTGTGAGTGTGGATGTTGGCATTAGTTCCACACCCATACCGCACACTCACACGCCAGACCCAGACCCATACCCCACACCAACACACATACCCACACGCCAGACCCATACCCCACACCCACACTCATATCCACACGCCAGACCCAGACCAATACCCCACACCCATCCCCAGACCAATATCCCACACCCATCCCCATACCCACACGCCAGACCCAGACCAGACCCACACCCATACCCCATACGCACATCCTCACACCAACACCCACACCTACACCCACACCCTCACACCCACACCCACACACCCACATCCACCCACACCCACCCTTCGATTTTAGATCATAACACCAGTATATTTATTTTTATTAACATTATCACTAACAGGAGCGCTTATTTTCATTTGGTTTTTATTAAGGATCCTCTTCCCCTCAAAAATGGATTTCACGTCATGTACATGCAAATCTCATGAAATTTTCAGGATATGTTGGGGCTGTAATGGAGAGGAGGCTATGATAAAATTTTCAGCCCTATATCATGATGTTTGAGGGAAATACTCACCAAACAATGATCAAAAATAGCTCATTTGGCATTCCAAATTTCTTTGTTCAGGCTCATTCTATAGATTTAATTATGTTTTTTTGTTTGACAGAGTATCTCAGGGTGCAGAGCACCAAAGAGTCATTTTTTTAAAATTCTTACTTTTTAAGCGAAAAAAGGGATGATAAATTCAGTCACTGGAAAAACTCTCAAAAAAATGGCGCTCTAATTATAGAAGCGCTTTTTTTTATATAATAAAAACAATGCTTAATTTAAAAAAAGACTCGGTGGTGCCCTGCATCTTGACATGCTCTTTGAAACAAATAGGAATTAAATATATAGAATGAAAACCCACAGAGAATTTTGGATTGCGCGATCCAGAAAGCATAAACTGAGAAAAAAACGAAAAAACATTTTCCGTTTTATCTGAAAAAATACATATTTTTCAACGGAAATCATTAAAAATTTTGACCAAAAATGAGGTATTAAATAAAAAATCATATTGTTTGTGAAAGAGCAAAGTTCGTGCTATCTTCCCATGCATTTATCTCCATTTCTATGTTTTTGACAAAAATTGACTTTTTTTTTCGAGAAGGCCTTAACTATTGAATGACCACTGGAATTTGAAGAAAATACTATGTGAGGAAACAATTGTTGCAAAGTTTAATATCTTTAAAAGCTAATCAAAGTTTATTGTAAATTACTTGACAGTTTTTATTGTTTCTACCAGCTGCGTTTTGTTATCAGATATTATTAGTCCTTTTCCATTTATTTTTAACTAATTTATTTTTTTTTATATCAAGAGAAAAGTTATTATGCTAGTCATTTACTGATTTTTTTTTCCTATTCAATGAAATTTTTATGCCTTTCTTATAATTTATTCTATTATTCTTTTATTCATTATTTAAACCGAACGATGCGTAAGGTTTTTTTATAACAACGTTCAAACGAAACAAGGTTCTATAAAAGCGTCGCATGCTCGAATAGAGATTAAACTTCACAAAAAATATTTCAGTAAATAAAACATACATAAACAATCCGGACCAGAGAAGCAAGATAAGTATTTAGAGACCGTATTCAAGTACATTTGTACTTAGTATCAGTACTTGAGTACAATTGTGCTAAATACTGGTACTTAAGTACACTCTGATAGTACAAGTAAATGTATTTGTACTACAAAAATATACTTTGTAATTAACATTTTTAAGTAAAAAAAGTACGAAAATATTCAATATTTTACTCAATATCCAGTCTCTCATTTGTCAAAGAAGTATCTACCATTCTAACTTATGCCTTGCAACTACAAACTTGTTAAATATTGTAGTGTTGCTTATTCTTATGTTTCAGTTCCTATTCACTTATATTCTATACTTCATCATATTGAAAATATCTATCGATTAATGATATAAAGGAATATTATCGAGGCGTATTCATCATCTTAATTAGTAGATCAAGTTCTTTTTCGATTGGTGCATTAAATTTAATTCGTCTCTGACAAGTGCATTAAATCTGAATTAACTTTTCGACCAACCATGTTTCTTAATTCAGCATTAAATTTGGTGCTTGTCGGTTATCTACCCCCAAATTTTTTTTCACAATTTTTTCATTATCTTATCGTATCTTTCTTTTTTATCCTGAGGGTGAGGGCTAAGGGCGAGGGTGAGGGTGAGAGTAACCCTCACCCCTGAAAAAATTGTGAAAAAAATGTTTGAAGTAGATAACCAACAAGTACCTTAAATTTTCTAGTGTAGTCAAGGCCAAACGCATGAAAGATTTATAGAATCCTTTCAAGAATATTATCTCTAGTTTTAAGAAAGGAATCTCAAATGTCAGAAAAATCAAGCACTTGATAAATGGGATCGTGATACAACTCTTTATTTGTCTCTTTTATATTTTAATCATAGAAATAATAGAAACTTGAGATTTTCTTCTCCAGATATTTTTTCATATATATTTATTTCATATTCTGTAGATATGCCTCTGCATATTCGATGATGTATCCATTCAAAAAATCAAAACTGTTTTCTCGGGATAAACCCAGTCACATTCAATAGCAATGTTCAAAATGCATTAGATTTTAAAGTAAAAAAGAGACCTTTTTTTATTTTGAAAGAAAGGAGTAGGGCGGATAAGACCATTTTTTCGCCCCCAACAAATTAACTTTTTTCGATCGATTTGGAGTGAGACATGACTCCAGATGATATTCCATAGGTTTTTTCTTGCATAGCTTACCTGAAGGTTTTTGGGACCTGTGGTCCCCCACATGGATCTCTGGAAAACTTTTTACTTTTGATTCAGTTAAAACATATGTCTATTTATATAGTTAAGTGTGCTGATTACGAATATCAACATATCAAGTCTTAAAAGTGTTTCAGTAAGAAGAAATCAGCCCTTTTTGAGGACCTCATTCCAG